ATACTGGCTGTAATAAAAATACAAAAACGACATAACATAAAATTCTCAATTTTTATATATTCCGAGAACAACTAAGTGACTACTATATTTACATGTGCTCTCTGCTTTATAAATCAAACTGGCCAGATTACTGGTTTTTACAAAAAGTATCTGAGTATCATTTAATATAATTTAATTTTAAGTACAACAGCGTTAAAAAAAGGGGCTTGTTGTTGATATCACTTGACTATTGAACTTCAGATATCGTTTGCGATTTGTAAAGTTACGTGATTAGTAAAGTAAATGGCGAGTACCGGGTCAGGTTTCTTCTGCGCCGTAGTTTTGTCTAGTCTTTCAGCAGATTAAAGACAGCGATTATAATACTTGCCATTTCTGAGAAAATAAATCATTTTCCTATCGATTTAATGCAGGTATAAGTCAACATATGTTTACATTTTCTATGCCCGCTACTAAGAGACTACCATTTGTCACTACTGCCACGGTGGATGTAAACTCCACATTTTCGATATGCAATTGCAATAACCCCACACCCCAGCCTTAATTGACAGATACGAAAAACGGGGTGGAAGTATTTTGAGGGAATTTTTTCGGATTAAAAAAAAAAACGGACTTTTACTCGTTTTCAGCCAACATTTAGTCTAAATTGTTAGTCTAAATTGTTGAATGTCAGAGCTGAAATGAGAAACTGTCGCACATTGTATTATATATTAGTAAACGAAAAGAGCCCCTGTATCAATACAGGTTACGGACTCGTTTAACGAATTACAAAAAAAAATCAAGTTCATTTTATAGAAAATTCAATCATTGTTTATACAACAGTATATAATTGTGATAGTCTTCTATCAAAATTTAAATCAACCCTTTTGAAAATGACTGATTTTTAACCAGTTCGTCTTAAGGAGATCAGGTTGTTCGAAAAATCTTGTTTATGATTGTATTCGCACAGAAAAATTCAGGGTTAAACTCTTTTTGTTAGAAGAATCTAGTTATTTGCTTTTATCAGTTTTTATTCTGTAATAGGAAATGTTTACTTTCGATAAGATTCTCTCTCTCTCTCTCTCTCTCTCTCTCTCTCTCTCTCTCTCTCTCTCTCTCTCTCTCTCTCTCTCTCTCTCTCTCTCTCTCTCTCTCTATATATATATATATATATATATATATATATATATATATATATATATATATATATATATATATATATATAGTTATAATTACGAATATGTAATTAAACTGCTTGTGTGTTAGTTTTAAATTCTTTATTTATTTCTATTGCATTGTATTTTATTGTAATGATTATTTTCACGAAATTCGATAGTTTCGCAAAATAACTACCAGTCTTCTGTTGACTTGATTAGAATACAAAAATATGTATGACTTCAGCACTACATTTAGCTCACCTTGGTTAGTAGTTTTTTTTTTAAAACATCGAGTGAAAACGATTGGCTATTACCAAAGTCATGCTCAGCACATGTGTTAGCACTGTTGTAAACATTTTTATTTTTAAATTCATTTTCAGTGTGGGAAGCTGATTCTTAGATAGGGCTATTGTAGCGAAATTGCTTCATGCAATTAATTTAGCTGTACCTGTTCCACAAACTGAAGATTTAAGCGAAGAAATTCAGACTCTTTTGATCTTGGAGCAACAAATCAGATTTCCCTGTGCCTGTCAGTAAAAAGCAGCTGATGCGATTTTTTGGTATGGCTGGATAACATCGGAAATTTTGTTCTGATTTTTCTAATTTTGATGACTCCCTGCCAAACTGTTAAGGAAGAAAAATAAGTTTCTTTATTTTTACGGGATTTGATTTTTTTTAAAATAAAAAAAAAACAGTCTTCAAATGACTTGATTAGAACGTAAAAGTATGACTTGAACAATACTTTTAGCTCACCTTGGTTCATACTTTTTGTATACATCGAGTGACAACGATTAACTATTATCAAAATCATGTTTACCCTACGCATTAGCTTTGTTGTAAACAGTTTTCTTTCTTAAATTCATTTCCAATGTGGGAATCTTATTCTTAGATAAAGCTATTGCAACGTTGGTGCAAATCGTACATTTTTTTTTTTACTGCGCCGTTTGATAATTAGTGATCACGCAGCCCGTCACGTGAGAAACCAAGTGATCTAAAATCACGGCTTAAAACAGCCATTTTCTAGCTGATCTATCAAGTCCTGCACCTCAGAGTTTAAGGTGCTTTTGTTGTTGATGCCTGTTTGTTTTGAGGTTCGTCTATTTTGTTTGGATTCAATTGTTTTATTCTATGGAAAACTATACAAGTGGTTTTTTTTAATTAAATTTCTGCAATAAAAATATTCAGTGGAAATTTATTCTTGAATTCAAGTCGAAACATTATAAATTGTGATTGTGTGTGTGTGTGTGTGTGTGTGTGTGTGTGTGTGTGTGTGTGATCTTTAGACTTAAAGGTTTGAAAGGAAAGAAAACTAATGCATGTTCATTATGTTGTTCCCACTTAGCAGCGTAAATGAAGATCAACAAGATAAAGTTGGAATTTTTTGTGTACACTGAAATGACTTTACATGCCATTTTATTGGAATATGATCAAACTTTTTTCGTGAGATACAATTTTGGGTATTGTACATGATCATCTTTTCTGACTTAGATGTTTTGGAGTGTCTTGAAAGAGAAACATCTTTAGATTTGGAAAATGCATGGTTTATGATCTGATCTAGAATGTATTTAATTCTATTTAATAATGGCCATTATTGAGCATTTCAGAAAATTAATTTCAGGCTGGATAAACCCTGGAAAATGACCTGGAAATTTATCTTTAGAAAACCGTGGAAATAATGTATAAAAATGGTTAACGCATACCATATCTTTTTACTTACTTTTTTCTCTTCTCGAGCTTCTGTTGACCATCGGTGAATATTATAACACGCTTTTGAGACAACCATATCTTTTTAAATATATTCTTCCAACAAAGATGGATGTCTCTGTCTTTTCCTTTGTTGTGAAAGTGGCTATATCGTAGATTTGGATGTTTGTATTAAATCAATATATTCGAAATAGCTGTGGACCTCTCTACACGTTATCAAGAACTGGTATAACACGGAGTAAAGCCATAAGGTATTCTTTGCGAAGACGATTTGGATCGCGTCCGGCTCGGATCAAACGCATCTCATGACGTATTTGGAGAAGACGAAGAAGAATTAAACTCTGGTTTAAATGAAAAGAAACATCATCATAATGTCAGTATTGTTTGCCTTACTTGACATTTATTCCAACAAAGTTAAGCTTGGGACTATCAGTCTCAGTCCTCATTATATGGAATAGTCTAAACAGCATAGATATAAAGCTCGAATTCAAGTTCAAGTGCTAAAAAGTTAGGAACACTCTGGCTGAATTATGTTTAGGATGATGCCACTAATTTATCACAGGTGTATGTTTTCGCCTTGAAAGAATATATGAGGACATATTTTACGCATGAACATACTCTCAAATACATCGTCGTGTTATTATGTATAGTGAAATCTTACAATTAATCGTACTATCGCATTGTTGCATGTACTTCAGAAGATATGACATCCCAAAATGAACCGACCGTGTTTAATAGATTGTTTGAAACTTCGGAAACCAGAGAAAATAAATAACACCGGCGATTGAGTTGGTCCTGAAAGATAGTTATGACAGAGGTTATTTACGAACTTGACGACAATATTGTTTCGTGTCAGAAGCAAACTACTTGGACGTGATCTATGAAAAAATTTCAAACATAGAAAACTTAGACATATTAAAAGGAACAATTTTACTGCCTGAGTTACGACGAATGTCAAAGAATAACGATCGAAAGCCTTTTCAATCAAAGAACATATAAAGTGGGATAACACCGTATCAAAGAAGTTCGTTGTAAAACATTTTCACTCAGTTTCTATTCTAGAATTGCGCATTCATAAATCAATGACTATAATAAGAAGTCATGACTCTGTCATTAAACACATCGACCGATTCTTCAAGTTCATCTCTTCAAGAACTACTAACAAATAATAATCAGTGAGAGTGGTATGAAAAACGTGTTCCTAAAAACAATCTTTTTTTCTTTGATGTATTTGTGGTGTATCGTGTTATTGGAGCAGAAATTGGAAACTTAAATTTGCTTAAGGATTATGGACTATTTTCCTCAGCAGTTGCATTGGCTATCGTTTTTCCATTCCTTTGTAGAAACATACCGACAATAGTAACAACGGTAGCTACGACAAAGCCAATCACAACTCTGTCTCTGGTTACATTTAATACTCAGGATCAATGGAAAATTATTCCTCTTTGATACCGAGAGACTCATCGGATACAAGAACCAATCGCCAATTTTTTTTTTTAAGATTAGCTAATAACAGTTTTTTGGATGAGTTTCCTAACAACAAATTTTGTGGATTCGCGGACAAATTACTTCAATCAATGCCAGTAGTCTATGAAGCTTTTTCGGGAAGTGGCTTTGGTAGAAATTATTCAGTCCACTCATGTCTTGAATATTACCACAAATCAATTAACTTTCGTCGTAGAAATGCTCATCAAACAGGTACAATAAACACTTGGCCAAAAATGATAACTACACGAAGTCTATTATATATACCCATATATATCGTACATGCAACTGAGAACAGCCTGGAAACTGAACTGCTCATATAATGTGCGACGACGCGTATGAATCAGCGCGTTATGAAGTTGTTTCAACGACATCCATACAGTACTATGCTCAGTAATACAATAATAATATGTATCCCGTTGCCCACATACAGTAATAGGGATGCACATCTGCAATTGTCCATGAGCAAGATTTGTGCGTATGTGTGTGGGTTGCGTGAAAAAATTAAACAGGAAAGGATAACGTTTTATGTTTTTTTCAGCTATAATACCTGACGAGTCCCTGGCACATATTTTAGCCCCGTGTGGTTGAATATGACTGTAATACCTGCAAACATGTGAAGATTATACGTCTTCCTATTTGAAACAATAATTTAAATGTCTGTATACCTGTATTGAAGACCACTCCGGTGGCCTAGTGGTTAGAGCGTCCGCCTCTGATGCGAGATATCGCGAGTGTAAACCCCGGCCGAGTCATACCAAAGACTTTAAAAAGTCTTACTAACTGGTCGGCCTAGTGTCAGGATAATGTGACTGGGTGGGACATCATGCTACATGTTGGTGACATTATGCCTCAATGGTAGACATCACTATAAACAGTCACACTGCAGACATCGTAGCGATATAACACACAAATTTAAATCACACACACACAAACATACACACACCTGTATTGAAATACGACAGAGAATCAGACAAAACATTGGGCCTTACGAAGACCTTATGAGCACAGTGAAAGAAACGTAAATGGCAGTGGTATGGGCATGACTCACGATCATCAGGACTTGCCAAGACAATACTGCAAGGCACTGTACAAGAAGAAGAAAGAGACATGCAGAGAAAGAGGTGAGAAGACAACATTCGAGAGTGGCCAGGCCTGACATTGAGGGACTCAGTGAGAAAGACGGAAAACCGAGAGAAATGGAAGAAGCTGATTGTCCGGCCTTGTGTGATGCGCCAACGGTCTACCAGACTAAGGGAATGATGATGATGACGATGATGATGATGATGATGACGATGACTGTATTTGGACTATCGTTTTGCACCATAGCACACCCATTAAACACTTTATTTAGTCCCACCTATTGAAAGCAAGTTCAAAAAGAGAAAATCCAACAAATGTTTGAGAGTAAACTAGGTTTAGAAAATATCTGTAATTACATTTGCTAGTTATAATGGTACATACAGTTTATAAACTTTATATATATATATATATATATATATATATATATATATATATATATATATATATATATATATATATATATATATATATATATATATATATATATAAACTTTATATACGTTAGAGCTGTATTATTTAGAAACAGAAAATTGACGACAAACTTTAATATTCCTCATTTTAAAAAATGCCTTCACTGAGTAATTACACATTCTTTTAACATTTTAGAATATGAACTAATCAAATTCCATGTTGCTTGTCATGATCGTCATCACACTGACCTTCAACTATGTTTGGAATGTATTGACCACTCTTTATCTACAGATATAAACTGATCTAATAACAGTACCAAGTCTTAAGTTTGCTGCAGGGTCAATAGCGACATGGCCAGTCTAGTTAGCAACGAATTTCAGAACTACGCCCCGGCCTCGAATCTACTGCAGAACGAACGGATTCGGAATTTGATGGAATCCGGTATAAGGATATACCATTTCGGATTCGGACAGTCGCCTTTCCCGGTAATGGAAACAGCAGTAGAAGCTCTACGGGAAAATGCTGGGCAAAATGCGTATCTACCAGTGACAGGTAAACACCGCTGACAAAGCGGCAATTGATTGATTTTCCACGTTTCTGCCGGTCTATTTGTGTCTATGTATTCATTTCTGCTTTAATCTATCTCCAACTTTCTGCGAATTTATGCACATACGCTGACGCGAGCGTGAGCGCGCACACATACACATGCACGCACAAACCTAACAGGTAGAAATGCTTTAGCATCTTCAGATCTATAATGTGGGTGGACTAGCGTAAAATATTAAGGAAATATTATTAACATAATCTAATAAAACTTAAGTAAGGAAGCAATTTCTTCTTAATAAGTAAAAGTTGTTTATTTTCATCTTGAAACAAAGGCATAGTCAGGAAAAGAAAAATGAGAATTCGTAATATAAGGACATGTAAAGTGAAGCGTCTTAGTAAAGGTCTCTCAAGGAGGCACAAAGTTTTGTCCTTGATAGATAAATGTCCTTTATATAAAATCAGGATATTAACGAATATTTCAAAATGGGATTTAAGATTTGTCCATTCAGAGCAATTGTTCTATGGAGATGTACACTAATTCAGGTAAAGTTGCATTTCTTTAGAAAGATTTGTCAAATTGTATATAATTATTCTATTAGCGACCTATACACTAAGTATTGGATATGATTATTCTATTAGCGACCTATGCGCTAAGTATTGAACCTGCGTTCTCTTTGTGGAGACTGTTAATGACAACAAGTTGAGCTTTTCTTTCAAATTAAATAATTTTAAAATGACCTTCTCCTCGGTTGTATGTCTGGATTCACGGATAATGTTCACCTGAATGAAGACGTAAATAGTATGTCGCAGATGAACTTTTCAGTTACGATTCACTTTTAATATGTTTTGTTTAAAATGTATTGATCTTATTTAAATGTTTAAAGCTCACCAATATTATAAAGAAGCCCAGTCTTCGTTTTTTATGGTATCATTTAGGTTTGCCGGGATTACGTCAATGTATAGCCGACTTTCACGTCAGATATGACGGCATCAGCGTGGACCCTGGTGACATCATTGTCGGCCCTGGGAGTAAAGAGCTCATATTTCTTCTGCTACGTGTCTTCCAGGGAGGTATGTGTACGTCTGCTTTATTCACGGACCAGATTATTCGTTGTCCATGCTGGAGGTTGGTGGGTTGAATGGCGGGTGGGGCTGGGTCTTTTATTTGACATCCCTCTTTTCCCTATAAAAAATTGTTGGGTTCCGTGCATAATTTTTTGTTTTTACTTGTAGCATTTAATAACTTAAAAACTTCTCGAATTTAATAATGGCAGAAAAATCTGGCTTCAACAATCTCTCACCCAACAGCAAAATATTAATATTTTGATCTTTTTCTACAATATACTGAAGACCATTAACAAAGCGGACCTTTTTTAGTCATGTTATTTTCCAAAATGCATAATTTCCATCAAAATTCACTCAAGTTAAAACTCTCACCTGCTGTTTCTGCAAGTGTTTGCACACTTCAAACCATGTATTATCCCTATATTCTGAACGAATTATACAATAAACGGGCCTAAGTGGGCTTGATAATTCTCACTTGTCTGAGATCTACCTCCAAACCAAATACGAGGGGAGTTGGTAAAGAAATCTGGGTAAACATGATGTCTTCTGACATTTAATGAATTTTACCGTGGCAGGAACAACTAATGCACATTATTGTGACTGTAACTATTAGAGTGCTAGAAGATTCCTGAAGTGTTTAAAACGGGATGGGTAAAACAAAAAAGACAAAAAGTCTTCAATGAGACTCAATCAGATGTATCCAAATGAGCAAAACAAAATGACCGAGAAACAACAATTTTTTGTGCCTATTTTACAGAGAAATATCTCAAATTTCAAAATTTCAGCAACACTAATTGATCCATATTTTATTTATGTTTTCTTATAAATATGATCTCAAAACCTTAATTCTCAAGCAAAATTCATTCGTTATAAAGGATGTTCTCGTATTTGAAGTTCTTTTTAAAAAAATATGATTTATAAATAAAATTACGGGGTAAAATGGGTAAAATTATATATTTAGGTATTTTGCGTTTATTGCACATAAAATTAATTTAAAACATAATTGCGTCTTGCTATCATGAGTTTTATATGTAAAACAGAGAGATAAATGTGAATATTTGTTGTTGTTATTGGGTTTTACGCCATTTTTCAGCAAAATATAGTCTATACATGGCGGCCAATATAACTGGTGGAGAAAAAATCCCTGGAAAACCCCGGGAAGAACCACCGACCAACAAGAAGCTACTGGCAAGCTTTTTCACATACCCACATTAGCCTAGTAAATGTAGGTAAAGTGTAACTTTACAAACAAATTTTTATTTTAATTTCATATAAATAGATAATAAGAAGTATTGAAACATTAAAAATATTTTAAGTTGTCGAATTAATACCGTTCTAATCTTATAAGTTTCCTATTCAAAAATATAATCACGAAAGGTATAAAATGTTTATGCATTTTGTAGTCACCTCAGAAATATAGTGTACATGTAAGACAGATACGACAAAAGAAGGGTCATTAAATCAATAAGTGTTTTCACTCAGTTTCCATGGTTTCCTTTTGGTAAAGATAATATGGTATGAATTTGTTACTAATGTGTTTGATTAACTGTATTAGACACGTGCATTGGTCATTTTTCTTCTGTAAGTGACAGTTGAATATCATCATTACTGATATAATATTTGATCTAGCTCATAGTATGGCTTACTTTATATTTTATTGGAAGATAAAATTATTACACATTTTTTAATTAAGTGAATTCACGAAATTTTAAAAATAACCAATGTATTTTATGAACATTTTTGTAATGTAGAATGGTAACATACGTGTCGTTGTGTAGAATGCGGAAACTTTTTAAAGTTCAAACAACTAAAATTTACACTTTTGTGTACATCTAAATAGACCTGAGCATATGAACAGTCTCACATATAGAAAGCAAAATTTTTGAGCTCGTTAAACAGAGAGGATGGTTGGCGTGTGTACTTCTCAGATAACATATGTACTTCATTAACCTGAAGCGAATGCTTTAAAAACTAATTCATTGCAATATCACATACTTTTAACAGTTATTCTGATTTTTCAGATGAAACAAAAGATTCGACTTTGCAAAGATTATTTTGTTCGTCAATCCGCACAAGATCAGGCTGTTCCTGATAATTAGAATAATCGCTTTGCTTGTTTCATACAGTTGATTCAACAGACTTTGTCGTCCATATCAATTTGTTCAATTCTTCCAAGGTACCATTTTTCATTGTAAACAACAGCTACGAAGTCTCCTTCTTTAAATCTAACAAATGCAGGTGATGAGATGCCGTGTTGATAGATTGTTGTATCCATGGTTACGTTTGACTAGTGGATGAGTATTGCTTGGTGGGTCACATACAGTGACTGTACTCTCCTCTGGTGAAATGGCAAGCTAACTCCAAGAGAAGCTATAAATAGACCAGCTGTTGCATTAATAACCCTTAATACACACTGACCAGTAGCAGCGGATTTCATGGGCCATCAATTTGTTCGTGGTAATCAGTGATACGAATGCGCCAAGTTTTATTGTTTTTCGTTATGGTATGAATTTAGTTCACATTGTTTCAGTTTGGTTACTTTACTGGAGATGCAGATGAAGCCCACCCAAGTCTACTTGATTTTGTTCCCCATGTATTAAAATCCAAAGCATCCTAGTTTACAGCATTTCCTGTCGTATGACTTGACCGT